TTTTAAGAAGACAACAAAGGATATTTGTGGTTTGAGCTTCAGAGATTATCTCAGGTCAGTAGTTTCAGAGGGTTATCCATCTTCTAAAATCCAGAAAGTCTACATTTTAAATGAGAATTTTAAATTGTTTTCTGCATTTCCCCCTTTTGATCAGGATTATCTTATAGAATCTTCTGCTTTCTTGACTCTTTGTCGTCCTCTGTTGCTGCAGGAGATTAGAGAACAAATAGCGTGCCTTATATTATTATCACTTGTAAGCTTTTAAGAACTCAGGCACTCCACCAAAAACTATAAAGTTGAATAGAAGCACTAAACATGTTATATTAGGCCGGTTAACCAGATTGTTCTATGAAACAGTGACCCTAAGCCCCTAAACCAAGGAACCATATCCCATGAGGTGTTTGGTTGTATATAAACAATCTCAGCAGCTTCTCTGTTACTTATTTTTGCCATTCTAAATAACATGTTTACACAACTTTTGCCAATTTAACTTTTTACAGATGTTGTTGTTATTTTCAGTGCTGTTGAGTCGGTTCCAACTCATAGCAACCCTGTATAGGGTTTCCAAGGAGGAGCTTGGTGGGTTTGAACTGCCAACTTTATAGTTAGCAGTCCCGTGCTTATCCCACAGTGCCACAACAGGACTCCAAATTATTCATTACTGTTGGGTATGCAACCCTACCCTTAATCAATGTGATTTTACATAACCGTCCCTACCTCTTGCCTCTGGTATCAATAAATAACTGATCTGTATACAGTTTCCATTTCTTATCTTTTGATATTACTGAGGCCATGCAATGTTTGTCTTTTTGCGGTTGATTTATTTCACTAAACATAATTTCAAAATTTTGTTCCATTTTGTGGCATATGTATCAAGACTTAATTTCTCTTACTGTTTTAATCACATTCCCTGTATGTACCACGTTCATCTGTTGATGAGTATTTGGCTGTTGTGTCATTGTCAGCTCTTTGGAGACCACCAGGAAGACAGTTTAACTGAGTTTATTGAAATTAATTTTTTTTCTGCCTTACTATTTCAAAAATCAATATTAGAGCTTAGTGTTAATGTCACTTTGGTCATACACTTTGAAAACTACTTTGATCCCTGTGCCATAGGTTTTCTCCCCACACTAACCCTGGACAATAAGTTCATCCAAGGGCATTTTCTCAATTTTTTAATGTACATTTGAATCCTTTGGCGAGCTTGTTAAAATGCAGATTCAGATTGGGGAAGGGGTTGGTGATTTTCAGCAGTTCTCATAAGATGGCACCAGTACTGTAGGTATGTGGACTGTATTTTGAGTGACGAGGCTCTAGGCAGAAACCTATTTCAAATATCTAAATTTAATGCTCTGTTGAAATTGAGCACAGTCTAGGGTTGTCAGTGCCCTAACTCCTGGGTGACTAGGCTACCCCATGCAATATTTAGGGCATACTTCTACTAAATATTTATTCATTCTTTATCTGAAATTTATAATTTAACCAGACATTTCTCTCTTTTTTTTCTCTCTCTCTCTTTCTCACATACACAGTGCTAAAGCTGACAGCTGCTATTTACAATCTAAATAAAATATGAAGATGTCAACATAGGCTTTAAGAAGTTCATGGAAAATTCTTATCTTTTAATTCAGCTTTTCCATGAACCTTTTGAAGCCCCCTGATACATACTATTACATTTAAAATAATGTGATTGTTTTTATTTTGAGAGAAAGGATGGATAGAATCTAGGTTTTTTTTAGTTTGTCAAAACATAATACTTAGTAGTTTTCAGTATAATAGAAAACACCTAAATATTTACCTAGGTGATTTCAGTAGAATAGAATAATATATAAGCAGGACCACCCATCCCCCATATGTAGGGACTATGTGAAAAATAGTGAATTTGGTATACTCTAAACATACCCCCCGTAAAGATTTACGGCTTTGAAAACCCTGTGCAGGGTCGCTGAGTCAGACCCGTCTCCATGGTACTTAACAACAACAACAAAACATACTTGAAGATAGACAATTAGGACCCTTCAGTGTCAGTGTTTTAAGCCACACACTGAAAGCAGTAAGTTTTAATATGATTGTTGTTATGTGCTATGGAGTCAATTCCGACTCATAGAGACCCTATACAGGGTTTCCGAGGCTGTAAATCTTTACGGGAGCAGAACGCCTCATCTTTCTCCCGCGGAACAGCTGGTGGTCTTGCTGCCACTGGTAGTTTCGAACTGCTGATCCTGAGGTTCGCAGCCCGATTCGTAACCACTACACTACCAGAGCGCCTTAATATGATGTTGTTGTTATTAAGTGCCGTCGAGTCGGTTCCGACCCATAGCGACCCTGTACAGGGTTTCCAAGGGTGTAAATCCTTACGGGAGTAGAAAGCCTCATCTTTCTACCAAGGAGCGGCTGGTAGTTTCGAATTGCTGACCTTAAGGTTCGCAGCCCGATTCGTAACCACTACGCTACCAGATAGATAGGTTTAAATTTAGACAGTAATTTTATGGTTCCTTTTTTTTTTCTTCTTGGATCTTTTAAACTTAGCATTATGGATTAAATTGTGTCCCCTTAAAATATGTGTTATAAATCCTTACCTTTATGTTGCTGTTGTTAAATGCTGTTGAGTCAGTTCCAACTCACAGCAACCCTGTATGGGGTTTCCGAGGAACAAGGAAAGGCTAGTGAGTTTGAACCAGCAGTCTTGCAATTTAAACCGACCTTGTGGTCTAGTATTTATCCTACAATGCCACACCAGGATGCCTGTGGTTATAAGCCCATTTGGGAGTGGATTGTCCTTGTTGTGTTAATGAGGCAGAATTCCTGTCCAGTGTATCTTGAGTCAGTATCTTTTGAGCTATATAAGAGATTAAACACAAGCCAGCAAGCAGAGATTGGGGGTGAAGGGGTGGGGTGGGGGGAGATGTCACATCACTCCAGGGTCACCCAGAAGCAGAAGTTTGAAACAGACAAGGTCCTTCCTCCAGATCCAACAGAGAGAAAAAGCCTTTCCCTAAAGCCAGCCCTCTGAATTATGGCTTTGAGTGTGCTATAAATTGTAAGAGATAAAGTTCTGTTTGTTAAGCCGCCTATTCATGGTATTTCTGTTAACTAAGGCCCTTAGAAAGGCCGTACTGTGTACTATTGATATTTTCTAACACTGTACACTATAATTATATGAAAATCATCTGTTGTCTATTAAAGCGTATGGAAGACAATGTAAATGCTTTTATTTTCTTTGTCTTTTCAGATTCTTTACAGAGTTGGAAGCGAGACATCAGAATAATATCTTCATTGATGATATAAGTGACATTGTAGAAAAACACACAGCATCCACATTTGACCCATATGTGAAATACTGTACAAATGAAGTCTATCAACAGCGGACCCTGCAGAAATTATTGTAAGCAAAGTAGTCTAACCTAGTTTTAATTAGGTCACACTGATTAAAATGAATTGATTTTTTTTTAGATCACAGTTTAGGATGCCTTCTGAGTATTTCCCAGGGGAACAACATTTAAGAGTAATGCTTTCAGAATGAGAGTAGAGAAATCAAGTCTGCAAAATTTCCTTCATAAAGCAATTATGAAATAATAGTTGTTGTCTACTTTTTAAAAATTGCTGCAAGACACGAGGACCGTCATTACTTCAGATCGCCCAACTTTCTAAGGTGTCCCTGACACATGACAGAAACATTTAATTCTGTCACGTATATAGTCAGAATGAGTTAGAGTTAACATTAGTGATAACTTAGATGTTAACAACTAGCAAAACTGAAAATTAAGTGATATACCAGAAACCAAGAGCAAGAGAAAGTTCACCAGGGTTTTCTATATTGTTCTCATCTCTCTCCATTTGTGGCGCTGTAAAGTGAGACTGCAAAGTCATTTGAACTGCAGGCTAAGTGGTTCAAGCTCACCAGCTGCTCCTTGGAAACCCTATACAGTGTTGCTATGAGTCAGAATCAACTTGATGGCACTTAACAACAACAACAAAACTTATTATGTCATTATTGAGTTCCCCACCACTACCACTACCACCACTGGATAGTTAGAAGAGGAGGCAGTATCTGAAGGAAAGCAATTGAGGAAAATGTTCCTAAAGATTTAATTATCCAACAAAAATGAGGTATACGTTAAATTTTACTTTGTACCTTTTTCAGTTGTCCTATGTCAGTTACTAAGAATTTGGATGTGACATATGTATGAGGGGGAAGTGCAGTGGCTCTGTAGGATAAGCACTGGACTGCAAACCACAAAGTCTGCCATTCGAGCCCACCAGCCTCTCTAAGGGAGAAAGATGAGGCTTTCTGCTCTCATAAAGTTTTTTAAGAGCCTCAGAAACCCTATACAGGGTTGCTATGAGTTGGAACGACTTGATGTCACTTAGCAACAACATATGAGAGGGCTTCAGAACAAGTTCCTGGAAGAACTTTTAATTGCAAATGTTTTGAAGCCCCTGGTATATGTCATTTGTATCTTTGAAAAAGGGTGAGTGATTGTTCAATAAATGTCTATCTTATTTTATTTTCAGGGACCCAATTTATCACAAGTAACTGTTTGTTTTATGCACAGTTGTATGAGACTGTAAATTCACTTGGGGGGGGGCATATGGACTGTTATCATGCTTTTATAGCCCCCTGTGAGTTGTGGTATTTATGGCCATACCGTAGAGCTCTGGTCAGCTTCTGTGCAGTGTGTGAGACCCTGGGGAGGAGGGTTAATGGTAAAGATCTCACAGCTGCTTGGAAAAACAGAACCAGTTAAAGCCTCCCAAGTTGGTGAGAAGGACTGAGTATGCCACCTCTCCCCCATGAAAGCTTATGAAACTCTGGTATGACCAGGATGGAAAACTCATGGCTACTAATTTCAAATGGAGTTTTTTATATAAAGCATGGTGTCTCAACCTCAACATGACATTTTGGGATGCATGAGTCGGTTTTGTGGGGCAGTCTTGTGCATGATGTTTAGTAGCATCCCTAGTGTCTCCCAACTAGATACCAGTCACATCTCCTCATGCCAGTTGTGACAGCCACTTCAGACATTGCCACATGTCTCCTGGTGGTTGTTGGTGGTGTTTATGTGCTGTGGAGTCAGTTCTGACTCATTGCAACACTGTATAGGGTTTCCCCGGCTGTAAATCTTTACAGGAGCAGAAAGCCTCATCTTTCTCCCATGGAGCGTCTTGTGGACTTGCTGCCAGGGATCCTTGTGGGGGCAAAATCACACCTCCTTTCTTTTTTTGCTTGTCCCTCCTCTCCTCTGTCTTTGGGAACCGCTGGTATAAAAAGATAGACATTGGTTTGTAATTGTTAGAGAATACAAACTGTATGTTTGAAAACAAAGCCTTCAGTTAGAGCTAAGCTCAATTTTCATTTTGTTTTGCAGAATTTTAAAAATGTGAATAGGTACAGCTGTATATTATCTAACTCTAAAAAAGGAAGCTTTTTATCTGAATTAATTTAATGACACCATCATTTGGGTTCTCACATGGAAGTTAGTATTTTTGTCTTCAGGGACTTTGTTGCAGTTGATGTAAATTTTCAGTTAGAGTAGTGATTTTCAACTTCAGTGGCCATTAGAAATGCCCAGGATACTTGAAAACAAGCAAACAAGGATGTATCCAGACTATGTAATTACAATTCTTGTGACTGGGGACCAGGAAGCTAAGTGATTTTCATACACAGGGGGTTAGAGTTTTTTGTTTTTTTTTAACTTCTTAAAAATCTGTTCAATGCTAACAGGGGAAATAAACCTAAAACTCATCAATCTGATCACATGAGAATAACGCATTTCTTAATGATTTCTTTTAATTTGCTAGTTTAAGTATTTTTCTAATTTACTTTTAGCAGCTTTGATCCAAACCATCTAATTTTTGAAATATCCACCACTGCCATGGCTCTTCTTCCTAAACTTTCTTTCCAGAGTGTGAAAATACAATATCCAGTTGTTGTTGTTGTTAGGTGCCATTGAGTCGGTACCGTCCCATAGCGACCTTATGCACAGCAGAGCGAAATCCTGCCCGATCCTGGGCCAACCTCACTAATGTAGCCATGTTTGAGTCCATCGATGCTGCCACTTGGCCAATCCATCTCATTGTATTTGCCTCTTTTTCTCTGACCCTCCACCTTACCAAACATTATATCCTTCTCCAGCGTCTGCTCCCTCCTGACAGTACGTCCGAAGTATGAGAGATGAAGTTTGGCCATCTTAGCCTCCAAGGAGCACTCTGGCTGCACTTCTTCCAACACACATCTCTTGGTTCTTTTGGCAGTCCATGGCACTTTGAATATTCTCCTCCAACACCTTAACTCAAAGGCATCAATTCTACGGTCTTCCTTATTTACTATCCAGCTTTCTCATCTATATGAGGTTATTGAAAATACCATATCCAGTACTACAACCTTTTCTCTCAGTTCCCCTCTTGATCCTCCTGTCCCCCTTCTGTCTTTGCTAATTATTAAATCTAGTACTTGGCAAGTTGGGGACCTTGTTTGCATTCCATTCTCTTAATGGAATTCCCACCTGGCTTTCCTTAAAAGTTGTATGGGTAGTTGGTCCCACATAAGATAATCTGTTTTGGCATATTTTATCTTGCTGAGTTCCATAAAAATGAGAGAGTAGGAGAAATACTCTAGCTGATATGGTCCAAAGATTTTCTGTCTTAGAAAGAGGACTGGTGAAAAGGCTAAAAACTAGTAAGTCTGGTCTAACTGACTTTGCTAAAGAAGAGACTAAAAACGTATCATATGTTATCTTATTCATGCATTGTGCTTATAGTTTATTATATATGATATCTATTCTGTTTATTGGAGTCCTGATGTTGTGGGTTAAGTACTAGACGGCAAGGTCGATTTGAACTAGAACGTCAGCAGTTCAAATCCTCCCATCTGCTTTCAGAAACCCTAAACCAGGTCGCTATGAATTGGAACTAACTTGATGGCACTTAACAATAATAACAGTTCTGTTTATTAATTGGTAGTTGATATATTCAAGAATATGGTACCATTGCCTCTCATTTAATTACTTTCTACTTTTATTAGTTTCTAGCTCATATATTTCTATCTTATTGTTCGTATTGTTAATCTTAAATCATATGTTTTCATATACTTGAAAATCACTGGCAATGTATTAATTTATCATAGCACTTTGTAACAGATTTTATTTGCTTCTTAACTTTGAGGAAGAAACCTTGTTTGTTTGTTTGTTTTCTCTCAGAGCCACCAACCCATCTTTTAAGGAAGTCTTATCACGAATTGAGACCCATAAAGACTGCAGGAACTTACCCATGATCTCCTTTCTCATTCTCCCCATGCAGAGGGTGACCCGCCTCCCCCTGCTGATGGACGTAAGACATGACCTGCTGGCCTTTTCTTCTCTATAAGTGTGCTGCTATAAATCTAAGACAATTATTCTTATTATTAAATTGATAGATATCTCTTTTGTAACATACCCAACCAAGTGAAAAGGTGCTATTTGTTTGGAAAAGTGCCTGGGGGGCACAGTTTGCAATCTGTTGTTAACCTAAAGTGGTGGTTTGAACCCAACTTACAGCTTGGCAGGAGAGAAGGCATGGCAAATGGCTTCTCTAAGCATTACAGCAAAGAAAATCTTATGGCGCAGTTCTACTCTGTAACACGGAGGTTGTCATGATTTCGGGGCCGCGCAGTGGCAGCTAACACACAGTGAGAAAGTGCTATTTGGTTGGAAAGTCTCAACTGTGTCTGGTATGTGTGGCAGTATCTTTAATTGAGATTTGTGTGGTCACTCTGAAGAATTTACATTACATCACCCACTGCTCCGTGTGTGTTTTCACGGCAAACAATATAGGCTTTAGAAATCGTGAGACCTAGATTCCATTTCTGACAAGAGCCATTCACTAGGCATATGACCTTGGGCAAATTACTCAATCTCTTTGGGCTTCAGCATTCTCAGATTGATCAGTAAGGTCCCGCCTACCTGTAACGTTCCACCATGCTGTGGTGCTGACATTCTGCACAGGAATGAAACTCATTCTGTGTAACAGATCATAAACTCACCCACTGTGTATCTCCTAGCTGATTCCCAGCTGTGCTTCACACTTCCCCTCTACTCACTCTACTTACTGTGCAAAGTGGCTGAGAAAATTCAGCATCCTTTTGATTTTAGGGAGTGTCATGAAGAAAACAAGTATTTGACTTCGAATGATGGCCGGGCAAGGATGGTGGAAGTGAGTAGAGACTGTGTAAAGCCCAGTGTAGAAGCAGCCAGGAGGTGGACCAGGAGCCCTGCACACTGGCCATGCTAGAACTGACGTGGTTGGCAGAGCAAAGGCAGCATGAGAGAAAAACAGAGTGGCCTGACGCAGGTCTAATCTGACTATGGGCCAGATTTTGTCTTTTTGATCTCATAAAAGCATTTTTATCATACTTTTACTTTAAAATGTATATGGCGTATATAATGTCATGCTAGCTTTTCCATACCTGACTTTATAAATCAAAACACAAACAAAAGTATAGTAGTAGAAATGTGATTGCAGAATATGGTTACAAAATAGATTCCCTCTTCTAGATTCCATCATAAATTCTGAAATGTTTAAAACTAATAGGAGTGACCCAAATGCACACGGCCAATCTTTTGCCTCTACTGAACATTATTGGGAGGTTCTGGTGACCAGCCGGAACTTCCAACACCTACGAATTCACCTCAATCTGCCATCATCACACCCTTCCCAGTCACCAAATGTAATTTGGGAATTTCCCCCTGCCTAACTTCCAGAGGTTCAAGCCAGATCCAGAAGAGGCCGTGGAATGAGGGATATCATTGCTGATGTCCGATAGATCTTGGCTAAAGCCAGAGAATATCAGAAAGATGTTTGCCTGTGCTTTATTGACTATGCAAAGGCTTTCGATTGTGTGGATCATGACAAGCTATGTACAACATTGCAAAGTATAAGTATTCTGGAACACTTAATTGTGCTCATGAGAAATCTGTACCTAGACCAAGAGGCAGTTGTTCGAACAGAACATGGGAACACTGAATGGTTTAAAATGAAGAAAGGTGGTGTGCAACAAAGTTGTATTCTTTCACCATACTTATTCAACCTGTACGCTGAACAAATAATCCGAAAAGCTGCGTTATATGAAGGAAAACGTGGCATCATGATTGAAGGAAGACTCATTAACAACCTGTGATATGCAGATGATGCAACCTTGCTTGCTGAAAGTGAAGAGGACTTAAAACATTTACCAATGAAGATCAAAGATCGCAGCCTTCGGTATGCGTTGCATCTCATTGTAAAGAAAACAGAAATCCTCACCACTAGACCAATAAACAACATTCTTATCAACGGAGAAAAGGTTGAAGTTGTCAAGGATCAACCATCAACACTCAAGCAGCAGTCAAGAAATCAAATGACGTATTGCATTAGGCAAATCTGCTGCACAAGACCTTTTAAAGTGTTGTAGAGCAAAGATGTCAGCTTTGACCCAAGCCATGGTATTTTCAGTAACCTCATATGCATGCAAAAGCTGGGCAGTGAATAAGGAAGACTGTAGAAGAATTGATGCTTTTGAGTTTATGGTGTTGGAGGAGAATATTGAAAGTGCCATGGGCTGCCAAAAGAACAAACAGATCTGTGTTGGAAGAAGTGCAGGCAGAGTGCTCCTTGGAGGCCAGGATGGCCAAACTTCATCTCTCATACTTCGGACATATTGTCAGGAGGGACCAGTCGCTTGAGAAGGATATTATGTTTGGTAAGGTCAGAGAAAAAGAGGAAGACCCCCAAAGAGATGGATTGGCAAAGTGGCAGCATCAATGGACTCAAGCACGGCAATAATAGTGAGGTTGTCTCAGGATCCGGCAGTGTTTCGTTCTGCTGTACATAAGGTCGCTATGAGTTAATACCGACTCGATGGCACCTAACAACTATAATCATGAGGAGTCCCGGTGTGTCAGACTGCAAAGTCGTTTGAACTTTAAGGTCGGTGTTTCAAGCTCATAAGCTGCTCCTTGGGAACCCTATACAGGGTCGCTGTGGATTAGAATTGACTCTACAACAATTAACAACAACAATCATTTTGAAAAACTTACAGTTTTGAAACTTTAGCTCTCGTATTTTTCTTTTCTTCTTTTTTTTTTTTTTAAGATCACATCTAGGAATAGAATCTAGACAGGTTGTCAAAGCCAAATTTTCAGGTTATCAAAACCTAGATTCCATGAAAAACAAGGGTTACTTCATGTGACTGTTAATGAATCTATACTGACAAATTTTTAAGAAATTCCTATTTGTCAATGACAAATGAATTCTTCCTAATGTGTGACATCCTGTAGTGTTGGAGTTATGGATTTTGAGGTTTCTTTCTTCAGTGAAAAAACTGGATTCTTTCTAAATGCAACTTTTCTATTTTTGTTTTACAGTGTTAGATTTTTGAATTTTCAGGATTTGTTCCTTTTCTATTAAAAATGTACAACTTAGTCACGTTTCCTTAGATTCTTTGTACGTTGTGATCTCCTGGCTGGTTTTTATCCTCACTCTCTTTAATTTGGAGAAAGTTACGTAAATAGGATGAGACTCACAATATCTAGTATGTATCATGTTGTACAGTACTGGAGATCTGTGGCCTGTTTTCCCAGTGAGCTCTAAAACATGCATTGGTCACAAGCTCCTTTGAGATTGTGAGCAAAGCTGTAGCCACAGTCACTGGGAGTTGATGTTTGCACAAATTTTATATAAGTTTCAGAGTGTGCATAGACACTGTGGATTCTAATGAAGAATACTTGCTCCCAGGGACAGAAATCAGTATTTTCCTGATCACTTTAGTGCCCATTAGTAGGTCATGCAATGGGCTTTTAAATTATGTGCACCATTTTAAAAAATCAAATAGATTATATTAGTGTTCATGATTTGGTTTGGATGTAAAGAGAATCATGTTTCATTTATGTGTGTGTGTGTGTATAGCCATATAAAGTCTACATTTTTCTCATTTAATATTTATGACAAACCTGTAACATTGTTGACATTAACCCAGTTTTACAGATTGGGAAAGTGAAGCTTCTAGACACCAGTTTGGTGACATGCCCAAAGCTAACATGGGACAAATACGGGATTTTAAACTAGGTTCTGCCACCTCTGAAGTCTGTCCTCTAATTTAGCCATTCTCTGGATTTACTTGAATCTTATATGCTGAAAGATTATTCCCCAGTTTTATCATTGGATTTTAATGTCATCTTTAAAGTCACTCCTTAATATTGTGTTCAGCATTGTTAAGCGTCCGTACGTGAGTAAGATGATATGGCTAGACACTGATTTTATTTTGCTTAATGAAACAAATCCATTGATTTCTTTCACTTTTACTTCATTGCAGACCATCTGTCAAAAAACATCTAAGGACTCTCCAAAGTACGAAGTCTGCAAAAGGGCCTTAAAGGAAGTAAGCAAGGTAACTGTTGGTTCATTCATCAGACAGTAAACATTCAGAAACCACAGAAAAGAGTGTCTTGGCTTGATGCTGAAAATTATTAGATCCTTGCAATCATTTACACTGAATTTGCTAGACAGTTTGATAAAATGATGTTTTCCATACTCAAATTAAATTGGTATTTTTATTGCTTCAGAGAGTCTTGCTTTAAGGAGCAATAAATGTCTCCATATTTGGTGGTTTGAAGAGCTAATCAGTCATTCTCTCATTCAGCAAATATTTATTGAGTATTAACTCTTGTGCCAGGCACAGTGTCAACCCCTGAGAATACAGATAGGGTCAGTGCCCTCATGAAACTTGGAGTGCTGTGAGGAACGCTGAATAAGAATTCAGTAAAAGATGATGTATGTATGACATGAGAAGGAGGGCACATGGTGATACTCAGGCTGAGTCCTGAAGCAAGAGTATGTATGAGTAAGGAATTGGTAGAGAGATGGGGAGGGAATGTCTTGATTATGTGTAGAGGCCAAAAGACAAGAAAGTGTGGTGAATTTGAAGAACAGAAATGTCCTTCATATGACTAGCCTAGGAGAGGGTAGCGGGGGGTCAGTCATGAGGGGCTTTGTGCATGTTAGGAAATTGTGGACCTACCTTAAGTTGATGTCGAAGCCATGTACGTGAACTCCTACAAGCACTACTACAGGCTTGGGACCAGTTCTGAGGCCCTTGCATTCACTAGACAAGAGATGACTGGAATAAACTGATGAATTCAACCTATATAGAGAGACCGGTGGAACCCAAAGATATGGCCCTTGGTCACCTTTCACGTCTAGAACGGAACTCTTCCTTGTGGCTCAACTTTCAGCCAAGCAGTAGATAAGTCTGTAACAGAAACAACACTAGTGAGGTATGTACATCCTAGAATAGTCAACCATTTGAGATCAAAAGGGTGGCATTGACTCAAGGTCAAAGTTCAGAAGGGTGCAGGAAGGAAGAATGGAAATTGAAAAACAAGGAGTAAGTGGGTAAGTGATGTTACATGGATGGGATTGCAATCACTGATATGTAATAAAGTGTATGATTTGTCAAATGTAAAACTAGGGATATGCTCTATAAACCTTTCATAAGCACAATAAAAAATTAACAAACAAACAAATAATTTGGCCTATATATCGGAGAGCTAGACTTGGAGATAAATTGAGTGAGCATGTTTGTGGACCAAAGTGAGAAGAATATGGTCTCTGGCTGGCTGGATGTTTTTTATTTATCTTTAAAATAGGAACACTTCAAACCCATTTCAAACACATTATTGAAATTACTATAGAACATCATAGTAGGCTAAATAAATGAGTCAGAAGCTCAGAAAAGAGAAAGACCTGAATTAGGGACGTGGATTTTGAGAATCAGCAACATGCAGACAGTATCTGAAACCAGAAGAGTGGGTTAGATGACCCAGGGAGAGTGTGTAGAATAAGAACAGTGGATCTGATGCACAGCCATAATGAATACCAGCATTCACAATCTTGTTTAGGGAAACAGAGCCAGCAAAGGAGATTTAACAAGTAATGTAGCCAGAGGAAACCATAGCTCAATAAATAACCAGAAGAATAGAAAACTGTATGGTCTGATAGATGGGTGGTAATTTGAAGGAAGGAAAGTCAACCCTATTGAATGCTCCTGAAAGATAAAGTGAGTTTGAGGATTGAGGTGTTCACTGGGTTTATAGAGAAGTAGGTTGCATGCTTATGTGATGGGTGTGGAAGCCAGATTGGAGGGTGTTGAGGAATGAGTAGGAGGTGGGAAGATGCAGTCGCCAGCAAGTGTAGCCAGTTATTTTAAGAAGCTGGCTGTAAGGGGGAAAGAGGGGGAGGGCTGTAGCTGCAAAGGGAGGTGAGAAAGAGTGGGGCCATTTGTTTCTTGTATTTTTAAGATGAGAAAAATGTGTTTATGCTTAGACACTGAGAATAATCTAGCTGAGAGGAAGCAGTAGAAGGGATAGAAGGAAAGACACTGTATGAGTTAGGCATGGGGGATCAAAGATGATGACATCAGAAACTTCCTAAATTCCAGCAGCATACCACCTATATGAGTCTGACATGTCTTTGAATAATCTTATTATGAAGTAATGTTTCTTTGCATTGACTTTAAATTGACTCACAATTTTATTTATCCTCATCTATGCCAATAATGACTGAGAAATTGTGGGTTTTCTGAGCTAGTTTCTTTTTCTACCACACATTTTTATACAGAACTCTCTGTAATCTACATATCCATCTCTTGTTTCATCAGTTGTCTGAATACCATAATCTGAGGAACACTTAAGTAAAGAGACATACTCAGATTGAGGTCCTGTTATGAATGAGTCTGTCTTCTAGGACCCCAGTTCCTTGAAGAAGTCAGTGAAGGGTCTTTAGAAGAAGCTGCCGAAGAAGTTTTAACTCTGGACTTGAAAGAAAGCAGTTTAGAGTATTTAGTAAAGTTAAAAACAAAATATGCATGGCGTTTGATACAAAGATTTTACTTCTAAGAATCTTACAAATAACCACATAATGCTGAGATGCATAAGGCTATTTCTAATAGCTTAATTTATAATTTATAATTAGTAGCGTAGTGGTTACGAATTGGGCTGCGAACCTTAAGGTCAGCGGTTCGAAACTATCAGCCGCTCCATGGGAGAAAGATGAGGCTTTCTACTCCCGTAAAGATTGACACCCTCGGAAACCCTGTACAGGGTCGCTATGGGTCAGAACCGACTCGACGGCACTTAACAACAACAAAAGAGGAGGAAAGTATCATTCTAAATGGTTTCTAGTAAGAGAATTTTTTGGGTTGTTACTGAGATTAACACAGATTGAAGAATAAGAATCCAGGCAGAAGACAAAAGGGTAGAGGTAATTGGTTGTAAAATGGAACTCAGGAATATAATGTCTTTCAAGAATTTCACATTCCTGCCATAGTATGACTACTGTGTTCCTTCAGGCATCTCTTCTTTTACCTGATTGGACTGGTAAATTTTGGAAAGACTGGCAGAAATGTAATGGACCTATAAATTGCTTTGCTTTATTGATACTGTAAATTAGTTTAGAAAAGATTCTCTGAAAAAATGCTATCCCATGACTGATTTTATCTGAAGGACAGCATATTTCTCTCTCTTAGCATGAATATCACAACCTAGTCACCAGTTTCTTAGTTTCAAAGGGTACTGAAGTCACTAATACAGCCAGCTCAGAAGAATTGATCTTCTGTTTTCTTTTTGAAAATTGCTAATTGGGTTTTATAAGGAGCTCTGGTACCGTATTGGTTAAGAATAGGGCTGCTAACCTCAAGGTCAGCAGTTCGAAACTACCAGCTGTTCCGCGGGAGAAAGATGAGGCTTTCTGCTCCCATAAAGATTTACAACCTCGGAAACCCTGTACAGGGTCACTATGAGTCTGAACTGACTCCACGGTACTTAACAACAACAACAACAACAATATTTGGGATTTATAGATTCCGGGAAAATAATATCAGCATTTTCAGCCTGAAGATAAGGAGAGTTGTTTTGTTTTTAACATTTTTATTGTGGATTGAGTGAAAGTTTACAGGGCAGATCATCAGTTTTACATTCAACAAATCATACACCTTGTTTCATTACAATGATTATAATCCCTTCCATATACCATCAGTT